TCAAATAGGTTTTCAATCCTGTGTTCTCTCTCTTCTCCTTCTGGTACCCCCGATAATGCAAATGTTGTTATGCTTGATGTTGTCCCAGAGGTCTCTTAAATGATCCTCATTTTTAAAAATTATTTTTTCCTTTATTGCTGTTCTGATTGGGTGGTGTTTTCTGCTACCTTGTCTTCCAGATTGCTGATTCGAGCCTCTGCTTCCTCTAGTCTGCTGTTGATTCCCTCGAATGTATTTTCATTTCAGTTATTGTATTCTTCCGAGCAAGAGAATTGTATTTTTCTGTATAGTTCTTTTTAATGGTTTCTACCTCTTTGTTGAAGTCCTCACTGAGTTCATGTGTTCTTCCCCTCAGTTTATTGTGTATCCTATAACCAGCGTTTTGAGCTCTGCATCGGGTAGATTGCTTGTCTCCATTTCATTTAGTTCTTTTTTGCTAGAGTTTTGTCCTATCCTTTCATTAGGGACACGTTTCTTTGTCTCTTCATTTTGGTTGACTCCCTGTGTTTGTTTGTATAGAATAGGTAGATCTGCTACATCTCCCGGCCTTGGCAGAGTGGTTTTATGTTTAGATGTCCTGTGAGGCCCAGTGGTGCAAACTCCCTGAGCCAGTTGCTCCAGGCTTGTCCCTTGTGTGGGTTGTGTGACTCACCTGTTGTAGTTGAGCCTTGATTGCTGTTGGCATATCAGTGGGTGGGATTGACTTTCATGCTTACTGCCCCTGAGGGCTGACTATGACTACAGTGCACAAGGCGTGCAGGAGCTGATCCCATGGAGCTGAAGTCACTTTATCAGGTCTCTGGTGTCAACCAAGTCTGTCCTCCGGGTGTGTCATTCGTGGAACTGGTTGGGTGGCAGTCTGGTGTTGTCTGAAGTTGGCCACCAGCCATGTTGATTCTGGAGCTGCTTTGGAGGAGTTCAGGTGCAGGCCAGTATCAGTCACCGTTGGTGTCCAGCTTGGGGCTGCCTGGTGGATGCCATAAAGGGATTTGTGGTTGGTTGTTGCTTGTGCTGAGCGTGGTGGCACTTGGGAGAGGCTATGCTGTGAATCAAGGCCAGCTGCCGCTAGTGGCAGGCTTGGGACCCTTTGGTGGGCACCACAGTGTGGGCTGAGATCAGCTACCACTTGTGCCAGGCTTTGACTGCTTAGCTGAAGCTATGCCCCAAGCCAACATTGGCTGCAGCTAATGCCAGGCTTGGGGCCACCTAATGGGAGTTACAATGTAAGTTGATACTGGTCACTGCGTGTGCCAGGTTTGGGGCCACTTAGCAGGAGGTATAGGGCATGCTGAGGCCAGCCACTGCTTGTTTGGGGTTTGTGGACTTTTGAGAGATTTTAGGAAAGCCTGCGGCATGAGCCGAGGTCGGCCGCTTGTGTGGAAAAGCTGCTGGAAGATGTTCAGCCCCAGCACTCAAGTTGGGTGGGGTGGGGTCTCAGGGAATCCCTAGGGCAGCGAAAACATTGTTAGCCAGGTTGATGGACAGGAGAGATTTGGTGCTCACTGGAACCTGTTGGCTGGGTGGGGGTAGGGCTCCACAAAGGAACAACGGTGCCATCCAGCGCTTCCATCCCGGACCCCTGCCCCTCCAGCCCTCACCCTGAATCTATTGGATTCAGTTCCTCCCAGTATGTCTCTGGCATTTTTCAAGCTGCTGCCCCAGCACTGGAGCTCAGAGTGATTGCATCTGTCAACGAGTAAGTCCAGGCGCATTCCCTTTAAGAGGAATGCTTGGTACTCCAGCAGCCCTCCAGACACAATCTCCACTGGTTTTCACAGCCAGATGCTACGGGGACTCATTTTTCTAGCACTGGTGCCCAGGGCTGAGGAGCTCTGTGTGGGGCTAGGACTCCCTCGCTCCTCAGGGGCGACCTCCACAGCTGAGAGATCGCTCCCGAGTTTGAACCGCCACACATGGGTATGGGACCTGCCCGTCTGGCATCTCTGCCCCGCCTACCAGTCTTGCTGTGGCTTCTTCTGTATAGGACTTCAGTTACAGGACTTCTGTTAGGTTAGACTTCAGGTAAGGTTCTCAAGGGTGATTGTTCTGTAATTTAGCTGTGGTTTTAGGTGGTTATGGGCAGAGGCAAGCACAGTTTATTCCTACTCTGCCACCTTGACCAGATGTACAACTGTCACTTTTAAAGGTAGCATCCTTTTTTTTAATTGGTGAACCATACCATGAAGTATTTGACCAATCTGCTTTTGGTGTGGGCATTTAGGTTGAGTCCAGTTTTTTGTTTGTTTTTTTAGCTGAGCCATCCTGCTACCTGTTGGCAGCTCAGTGGCTGCTCAGTTCGGGCTGGACTCGAACCGCTGTTGCTCAGAGCTCAAACTCTTGAGTGAGCTCTTAACCAACTGAGCCACTCGGCCGGCCCCCAGTTTTTTAAGCTATTATAAAGAATGCAAAGGTGAATACATTTGTGTATTCATCTTTTTTTACCTGTTGGATTTATTCTTTTCAGGATAAATTCCTGCTGAGTCGAATTATTGAACTTTTCAAGTCAACTTTTTGTTGTGATGTAATACGCTTACAGAAAAAAGTGCATCACTCTGTAAGTGTTCTGTTCCATGAACTTTCTGAGAACACATCAGTGTCATCTTCACCTACATCAAGAAGTAGAATATTCCCAGTACCCAGAAGCCCCCGCATGCCCCATTCAAATTTCTGTCTCCCCCATCAAGGACAGCCTCTTTCCTGACTTTTTTTTTTTTAATTAAAACTTTATTGTTGTTGTTTTTATTATTATTGGGGCAGTGTTAGATTCACAGCAAAATTCCGGGGGAGGCCCAGAGATTTCCCATATACCTCCTTCCCACGCACATGCACAATCTCCGCCATTATCAATATCCCCTACCAGAGAGTTGTTATAATCTATGAACCTACACTGACACATCATTGTCACCCAAAGTCCATAGTTTGCATCACTCTTGGTGTTGTACATTCTGTGGGTTTGGACAAATGTATATGGCATGTCCCGTCATGAGGTACCATCCAGAGTAGTCACAGCCCTAAAAATCGGCTGCGCTCCCCCGGCTCGTCCCTTGCCCCTCAACACCTGGCAACCACTGATCTTGTTACTGTCCCCATAGTTTTGCCTTTTCCAGGATGTCATGTAGTCAGAATCATACACTATGGAGCCTTTCTAGCCTGACGTCTAACACTGTAGATGAGTTTTGCCTGCTTTTGAACTTGATGTAAATGGAATCCTAAAGTGTGTGCCCTTTTGTGTCTGGCTTTTTTTCGCTTGTCATTACGCTTTGGAAACTCGCGCACGTATTGCACATATTGTTCGTGTTTGTTGCTGTATATTCCATCGTTTGACCATACCACACTCTTAACACTTTATCCTGCCATCGCTGGGCATTTGGGTAGCTTCCAGCTTAGGGGCTACTCCAATCTTACTGCCCCAGCTATTCTTGTAGACAGCATCTGGTGAGCACAAGCACACATTTCTGTTGGCTATGTACCTAGGAGTGGAATTGCTAGGCCATCAGGTATCCGAATGTCCTTGCTGACATGCATGTGATATACATGACCGTATTTACTCCAGAGAGGTGATAATTGCCCCCAGTGGTTACCCGACTTTTCCAAGTGTCAGTTTCTACATCTGTAAGATGGGACTACAACCCCCTCCCAGGATGCCAAGAGAAAGAGAAGCTATCGCCTGGAGATAGGCACCCAGCACACAGCGAGCCCGCAGTACCAGTCAGCAGTCGTCATGAATATTGTCTAGCAAACAACAGCCTCTCTCTGGAAGGCTTGAGAATTCTGAGCTGCAGGTTCTTAAAGAGATCACAGCTTGAACCTGAGGCCAAAAAAAAAAAAACACAAAAAACCCAGAACATGAAGTAAGGGTAGCAGTTGGCCTCAGAAATGAGCTACCTATAGAACAAGAAGAGAAAGGGTGCTTAGGGGACGGGAAATGCTGAGAGGATGGTGGCGGGACAGAGCAGTTCCCCAGTCCAGCTCCTATTTTGGGAAGTTTTACCCGCACTGTATACAGTCCGCAGGACCCAGTCCTAAAAGCCTTGAACTCCAGGATATTCTTGGAAACAGGCAATATGTGTAGTGGTGACGGGCAGGCTTTGAGTTGGGCAGACTTGGAACTGAGTCCCAGCTCTGCCACTTAGCCGTTGTGGGACCATAAGCAGTCTCTGAGCTGCACTTTGCAAATCCTAAAACAGAGAAAAAAAGTATCTACTCACTTAGGTTTGGAGAGTGAAGCGAGAAGGAACAGATATATGTTCAGTACTGTGTTTCACAAAGTAAGCACTCACGTGCGGGTGGAACCCTTATAAAACCTGGAACCCACAAGGTCAGGTCTTAGCTGTGGAAGAAACATGGCCCACCAGCCAAAAATGGTAACTAAAAATAAAAAACCTCTTGTACTTACGTTTTCTCAGCTTTAGGTTATGGGGGAGTCTGAATACGTTGTCCACAGCAGCGGTTATCAAAATTCTGTATGTTTCCCCTCCACTCCCTTGTCCCACCAGATTCCACATACATTTTTCACTACAGGGCTCCCAGGTCACTTCCAGCACCAGCCTGAACCACTTTTGACCCTTTCCTTACTCTTCTGTCTCTTACTAGGTGACTACACAACGCCCCTTTCTCTCCTAGGAAAGAACCCACCTTCGGGAGTGGGAGAAGAAAGAGTCAGACAAGCGGACATAATCTCTTTAGTGGGTTGGGGGAGGGGAAAGTTCACGACTGTCCTGTGTCCCATGAGCTGTTAATGTTAGTACTAGTTGTATTATCGCGAAGGGGGTTGACGCTAACGACCCACAGCCTCATCACCAGGACGCATGGGAAACCCTTGTTGGCTTCCCCATCCCGTGCTCCGCCTTGCCATGGTGGGAGATGGCGTGAGAATGGGTGGACGGAGGAGGGTGGGGGTGAGGCAGAAGAGTGGCCCCAGCCTCCGCCTGGTAGCTCCGAGTTCAGCGGTCAGTGATGTCTTTCCCTCTCTCATTTTCTTTCTTGCTCTTACTTCGCAGTCTCCTCAGACCAGATCGAGCAGCTCCACCGGAGGTTTAAGCAGCTGAGTGGAGACCAGCCTACTATTCGGTAAGCTCATCAGCTGGGCTTGGGCGATGGGCAGGCCCGTGGCTCTGGGGGATTTCTCTCCATGTATCTTTCCCTGACTGCAGAGTGACTCAGGGACAACTCCTGGGTTGCCCATGTTCCAGAGTTCCTGAGGCAAACCGGTAGCTGTTTTAATTCTTCGTGTCACTTCTAGATAAGATGTTCTCAACTAAAAGAAAAAGCGCCACACCTGTTTGTATTGGGAGCAGAAAATTCTAACTAGAGTGAAGACAAAGGGGTGGACAGCTAGCCAGCCACCCCTGCCTTCCTCAAATGGAACATGCCTTGGAATCTCAGACACATATTGAGGACCCGTTAAGTGCCAGGATCACGCCCATTGCTGGGCACCCAAAGATGAATACATTGGGGTACGGCCCAGTTCAGGGGCTCCAATGGTGTCACGAATCCCCATCTCTCGACTCTGCTTCCTCCTGGCTTGTTAGTTCCAACTTCGGTTAAGATGGCAGGTGGCAGCCTCAGATTTCTGTCAAGGAAACTGGCCTTCCTACATTGCGTTTGTAACGTTAACCTTTCAGGAGCTGTGCAGGTTACTTTTGTATGAGGAGGAATGCCTTGACCTCCGTTCCTTCTTCTAGGAGTGCAAGTTCAGCCTTCGATGGTGGTTGAGTTATTCGGATCCAGGCTAGTGAGGGGTCCTAGTGGGTCAAAGTGGGCGAGGAAGCTTCGAGGTGAACCATAGCAAGCAGAGAGTCCAATATATAGTGAATACTGTTTTAACTAGAAACTTCCTAACAGATGTAGTTTCCTAAAATAAACGTTCAAGGTCTCAAGGTTACAGTGTTGGAACTTTTAAAAGAAACCTTTCAATAGCCCTTTTCCTTCGTACACAGACTTAAATTTCAGTAAGTTTTCTGGAATCTGATATATAAATACCTACTCTCTCCTGCCTTTCTAAACAAAGACATGTTGTTAATCCTTTGCACTGTATTTTCAAAGCATCCGTTTCCAGAGTTTAGGCTCTGGTGGTCTCAAGGTTCTTGCCTCCAGTCTCAAGGCAGATTTAATGACAATCAGGATTTACACCTTTAATTCTGCACATCTCACTGGCTAAGCCCAATGAAGGAGAGAACAGAGCCTCGCAAAAGGTCACCTGGCTTCTCATTGGCTCTGACGGGGTCACATGACCAAGTCTGAACCAATCCCCATGACAAGGGCTAGAAATGCAAATTGTTTTTTCCAGAGCTGTGAGGGATTGGGGCTGGGTCATCAGCCAAGGGCAAGGATGGGGGATGGAGTGGTTTCTCAGGGCAAGGTGGGCCTTCCGGGGCTGAGGAGCGGGTGCAGGGTGAGAACAACTCAGCAGGGCACCTTGAGGTCTAACCAGAGGTGACACCTTTGCATGCTGGATATTGGAACATGAAATGTCAAGGAGATTATTCCTTCAGAAGTTCATGGGCACGTGCTCTGTGCTGGTGGACCTGACCGCCATGCAGCTCACAGTGGGGGATGTGTCAAAGCAGAGCCTACTTTCTCAAGATAATTTTCTAACACGCCGCGCCCGCAGCCCTATAACAAGCCTCCTGGGCTTCTTACTGTTATGGGTCTACCTGCGGTCTACGGGTCTTGGCTGGTAAGAGGCTTCAGGTTCAAATTTCACACGTGTTTAATTTTCAGACTTGGGGGAAGCAGACGCAAAAACCCAGACTTGGGAAACACGTTGTATTTGCATCTTCTGTATCCCCGGCTGTGTGACTGTGGATGAGTTGCTTTGTTTCTCTGAGCTCGTCTCATCTGTCAAGTGAGTCTCAAGTGAGCGTGGTCACTTGGGATTGGATGTGAGCATTAAAGATGAGCAGATGTGTGTAGGAGGATCCCGCGCCGAGCTGGGTTCGTTGGCATTTGGCAGATGGGCTGTCACCATTCCACCCTTTCATGAGGCTGTGAGGACCCGCCTTGAGATGCCCAAGTGTATTGCTGGGAGTGGAGGTGGGGAGCTGCTGTGGGAAGAGGAGGCTGAGAACCATTGGGGGCCCCTCCCACTTTGAGGTTCTAGCATCTGAACCTCAAATTGTCTAGCAGGCCCTCAGGGGCCTTTGCAAAGACTTACTGAAATGGCGTGCTCTATACTGGTTCTTCCCAATTTAGTGTGCACGTGCATAACCTGGGAATCTTTTGTAAAATGCAGGTTTTGGCTCCAGAGGGTCTGGGGTGGGGCCTGAGACTCTGCATTTCTAACAGTCGCAGCTGCTGCAAGCCCCTTGATTGCGCTGAGTCCTGAGGCCTTGGGGTAGCGAGCACAGTGCCTGGCGCGCAGTAAGAGCTCAGCAAATGCTGCTTCGTTGCTGTCCCCCACCAGCCAGCTTGAACGCCACCCTCGCCTCAGCCGTCTGTCTGTCCGCTCTCCTCAAGCCCATAGCCTCCTGCCTTTTCACACATCGGTCTTGACTAAATCCAACACATCTGTTGGGCTCAGCAGGAAAGTTTGTCCTGACCCCCACCCCAGACCTGGTCAGCACCCCTGACAGCCTCTCAAGGCCTTTCCTTTTTCTCTGTAGCAGTCACAGCATTGGTCATCACATCAGGTGCCTTAAACATCTGTTTCTGCCTCCCCGGCTGGATGGTGAGCACACCTGTGTGCACGCATCACCTGAGAACCTTGTTAAAAATGCAGGTTTTGATTCAGTCTGGAGTGGGCCCTGGGACGCTGCATTCCTAACAAGGGTGCGTGGGCTCTGGTCAGGTTGGCCTCACCCAGCACCGAGGACGCCCAGTAGGCTCTCCAGGCTTGGGTGGGTGGAGGCTGCACCCCAGGAGCTGCTGAGTGGCCCCTTGCAGGCTCCTGCCTCCCTCTCCTTGTGCCCCAGCCAGGGCTGGGGCAGGGAGCTGCTGGCTCTGCCCACCCACCCTGCACCCTGTTTGCCCCGCCCCTGCCCACCCACCCCTGGGACTGCCATACACATCGCCTTTTCCACACCTGCCCTCTTGCAAAGCCCTGAGTGTGTCTGTCTGGACCCAGTGAGCGGCTCCGGCTTCCCAGCCCTCAGGGGCTCCCCAGTGCCCTCACGGGCATGTCCATGCTCTTTAGCTGGGGCCCACCAAGGTCTTTAGCTGCTTACCTCTGCTTTGCTGAGGTCTCAGTGTGCACATCACCTCCCCCAAGATACCCTCCTGCCCCCCTGCACTCCAACAGCCTCCTTCTGGGGGTGCCCACCCCAACATTTACAGTTCACAATTGCAAATGGCCCCCTTCCAGCCACTTCCCTTAACAGACTGTTGGTCCCTGGAGGCGGGGCAGGAGCGAGTTCTTTTTCCCTGGAGCTCGTGCTGAGCCGGGGGCTTGTCACAGAGTAGATACTATGGGAATATTTGGCTGAATGAATGTTGGGAGCAAAGAAGTGAGGGACGAGTGAGTATAATGACCAGAAAGTCCTTTATAATCCAAAAAGCATGGTATAGATGAGACCCATTACTAATAGTACTTCCCTCATAGAGTTGACGCCTTCCCAGTAAAAGAATTTATCAGGGGCCCCTGGCACGAGTGGGAACTGTCCACAAATGTGAGCTATTCTTATGTGAGCATGTTTTATGGGCTGCTGGCTGGAGCATGTTACTTCAGTCTTATAACCCCCCCCCCCCCCCC